CCCCAAAACCCCAAAACCCCAAAACCCCAAAACCCCAAAACCCCTTTTAGAGAAATTATAATTGAAAAATTTTAAAATGGAGAAAGTCCTAATAAATTATCGGTACAAGATCCTTAAGAAAATTGGAGAAGGCTCCTATGGACTTATTTACAAAGGAATTGACACTGCTAATGACGACCGAGAAGTAGCCATTAAGTTAGAAGAGATCAATTGTGAGATACCTCAGGTTTTGTATGAAGCCAAAGTGTATCATACCTTACAAGGTAATACTGGCATTCCAAAGTTGCATTGGGCAGGAGTTGAAGGAGACTATAACATCCTTATTATTGAGAATTTAGGACCTTCTTTAGAGCATCTCAGGAAATTTTGAGGAGGAACATTTTCTCTTAAGACAACTCTTATGATTGCAATACAATTAATGGGCAGGCTTAAAACTTTTCATTCACATTGGCTTCTTCATAGGGATATGAAGCCTGAAAATTTATTAATCGGGTCATCCAGAGATCCCAAAACTTTGTTCATCATTGATTATGGCTTAGCCAAGGCTTACAGACACAAAGTCACAGGAAGACATATTCCTTGCAGAAAAGGAAAAGGGATAACAGGAACTGTCAGATACAGTAGCATCCACACTCATCATGGGATTGAATCAGCAAGGAGAGATGATATCGAATCAGCATTTTATGTGCTTATTTATCTTTACAGAGGCTCTTTATTATGGCAGCAAATCACTCAAAAATATGAGACTAGAGATGAATTATCAAAATATATTCAAGAGACAAAAGAGACAAAGTTAGCCACAGAGATCTGAGGATCAATGCCTGATGAATTTGCAACTTTGCTAGAGTATTCTAGAGAGCTTGAATTTCAAGAAAAACCAGGTAAGTTACCAGAATAACATATATCTAGACTACTCATTACTTACTTCCACATTGATAATGTGAATGAAAGAAAATGATATCGAACGAGACTATGAATACGATTGGATAAAGATTGCTAAACAACGAAACTATCTTCACCAACCAAAGCCAAAATTAAGCGATTTAGAAATTTACAAAAATTTTCACAAGAAGAAAGTAGCTCCTTCTGACGACTCCCAGCCAAAGCCTTATGCTCATTATTTCAAGCCAAAGAAGTTCAAGGAGATGGCAAAGCTGAATCTGACTTATGAAGAAAATATAATATAGAGAAGATTCCTAACTCAACTAAACCAATTAAGACCTACAACATCCAACCAAAGAAAATCTCATCCTCTTCAAAGCCTAAAGGACCTTCCCTCTACGACAACTATTCAGATTGCTCCCTAAAATTTGACCATCAGAAGAGAAAGAGGAAGATTATGCTAGATGTTAATCCCAAGCTAAAGTAGGGAATATATATTGATAAATCTAGACTGCTCATGTAAGAAGATAGGGGGAAAATAATTATGGTAAGGAAAGTTAAGGATTTATTAAGCCATTAAGTTTGTATAGGAAAGAAGATGTGAAAAGCAAAGATGTCTATGATAGAGGTAAGTAATTGAGTAGTGGGTGTGTTATGGTTGAGTAGATGACAACATTGAGGCACGGAGAGTATCACTTCCATCGATTTTTGTTAAGAAATCTGATCCTTATAAGTAACACCAGGTCACCCAACCCAATATATATCCAATCTCCCCCTTCCCACTTGGGGTTTTGGGGTTTTGGGGTTTTGGGGTTTTGGGG